AATTGCTGCAAGGCAGAAGTGCTAGCCATTAAGCCACTGTGATATATATATATATATATATATATATATATTTGAAAATTGATCAATCCTGATGTGTCTCATTTCTTGAGGCCCTAAAACACACAGGAAAGTACAATTACTACACAAATGACCCCTTTTTACAAAGTAGACAGTCTGAGGTATTTTTTTTTTTTTCCATACTGTCCCCAGTGCAGTACAGTGTTATCAATGCCTTCATGAACTGCTTGCTTTTGATTGTGATCTGTGAAGTACGGTTTGCCACGGTACCATGTGATTGCTTTGGGCCAATCACAATAGTAAGAAAGCTGTTTATGAATGAAACCTCATTCAGGACAGGTTGTTTACATTGTTATCATATGATCGCTATGACCAATCATAGCGATCACATGATGCCCAGTTACTGATTACCAGTAACAGTGATCCGCTCTGTGCAGGCTCATACATGATTGAGCCTGCACATTCCACCCTGCCACAGTAAGTCTACTGTGTGGGAGTGGCAAGTGGTTAAAGTGTAACTAAAGACAAAACTTCTTTCCCTTTTTTTTTTTTATTTTTTTTTTTTTTTTTTTAAGTTTTGTATAGAGTGGAGAGGGATTAGAACACCTATTGGGTTTTCATTGCCTTCTGTGCCCCCCATTAGGGAAATTCACCCACTCTATTATTTCTCCTGTTTACCATTATCATGTAAAGTAAAAGAAAATCCCAAATTTCATGTTGTCCCCAAAACCAGAATAGATGGGATTTCTTCCAATGCTGACACTAGCTCTGGTGACAACCAGGGATTTCCTCACTTTAAAGATGTAGCACCCTCCTAGAAGTAGTGCAGGATGTTAGGTAAATTTATTTGGCTCCTCTGTAATCTGTGCTGTAGGGGTTTATTGTTCAGGGCTTCTTGGTGTCTCATAGGCTGCTGATCTAATTACGTCCCCTGTATTCAAGTTAATTCTAGAATTATAGTGGAAGGAAGAACAGAGTGGGCAGCCTGAATATTTATGGGGCTCTAGCCAATCCTGGGTAGGTGTTCCCAGTAGGTGGTAAGAGAGCCCATAAATAGTCTGAGGCAGCAGTGGAAAGTTCCTGCGTCCAGTCCTGCTGGAGAAGACTCCTGTGCAGGCGCTCTGCCCCTGTGGCAGGAGTGCTAGAGAAGCCTTTGTGAAGACAATAATTTCCCAGATAGGTTTAGCTGGGGGGCCTGTTTGCAAGCATAAGTCCTGAAATCAATCTGGATCAGGAGAGCGCTCACTGGAGGGAGAGTCAGGAAGAAGTTGGGGGGGGGGGGGGGGGGGCGTGTGTCCAACTGTCCTAATGGAGGTGTTAGCTTGCATCTCGTCTTGAAGAGCCTGGTGGATATCAGAATGAGGCAACTGATGATCATGTGGCTACGTAAGTAGATTGTCCATGTGCTGAAAAGTTAGTGGCTATGTGTAGCATTTGATATCTGGAAGAAGTAACAGTCACTGTGAACCTAGAAAATATGTGGCACATTCATTTTGTGCTCTTCACCAAGATAGATAAGGAGTCCTCAAATTGTCCAGTTCCTCAGTTTCCAAGTTTAATGTTCCCAATAAAAACCCTAAAAAGACAACCCTAGACTGCTTCTTCAAGCCAGCGGAAGAGTGAAGAAAATGCTGTGTGCTTGGTTGTGTGTGCCTTATCTGGGGGAATTGGACTACATTTACCAGTGGGTCTTTAAGGGGTGCTCTACAGAGAGATTTTCACTCTCTGCCTGTTTTGACTCTGGGACAGAAAATGAAGCAAAATCCCCTCAATGGGATGCAGATAGCAAAATAAACCTTACAGAGGTTATAGCCTCCCCTACTCTATCCTTAATTGGGGGGGGGGGGGGGGGTTAGTTATGTCTTACATTCTATTTTAATAGAAGTGACTAGCACACAGTTGCCCATGTTCTCACACTCCTAATAACTTTATAAAAGTCCCTATTTTATACCTCTCATCCGAAGCCCCAGTCTTGTTCCTTTAATAATCATTTCATACAGTCTTAAAACAAATGTGCTAATGTTCACAAAATAAGTTAGAACATAAAAAAATCTAATTGGCCAGGTGCTATGGGTGTTAAATGAGAGGGTGGACAATGCCATATAGAACAACCCAAGTTTTTAATGCAAAATGTACTTGTTCTCTATGTATCAGAACTAAAACAGAGACAGTTGTTAAGGAAAGGGGGACAAAGGGATCCACCAGAGGAGGAACTTTATCTCCAACTGTGGGGCACTTGGGAAGCTATGCTATTTTTCCAATGAGTGCAAGATCATAAGGTCCCTTTTACATGGGTGTTCCATTTATCAACGTTTCATATGTCTTTTTTTTTTGGATGGAAAACGGACAGCAATTCATTCCTATGGGATTGCATATGTAAACAAATTATCATCTGTTTTACATCCATGTCCGGTCGGGGACTATTCTTTTAAATGGAGCAAGGCTGCGTTCTTTTCTGTTCAGACGGATCTGAATGGATGTCGCCTATACGTCTGTTTCATTTGTGTCCGTTTCTTTAGACAGGAAACATATTTTTTGTTCACTTTTGTCACCTATGATTAGTTTCTTCAAAGTCTAAAAAAAATGGATGTCAACCGAGCTGAAGACTGATAAGTAAATTGATGTAACCTTGTCTTTTCTTGGCAAAACAAAAAATTTACTGAACTGATGACACCTGTCTGAAATGACCCATAAGGCCTCATGCACACTGGGTATTAAGCCCTGGTTCATTGTGCAATGGTGTTTAGCTGTGGCTGGAAGTCACAGATATACTGCCCATCCCTGCTGCCAGCAGCCTGTCAAACTACTGCCCTAAACTACTGCCATAAACAGAAGAGCCTGTGCCCTCCAGCTTCAGCTAAACACCAGAACCCCATGCACTAGGGCTAAACACTCACTGTGTATGAGGCTTCAAATTGTTACTAAACCCAGACCCTGCATTCACTATATCTGGTCTCCCACAGTACACAGAACATGGAAGTGCAATTATTTTTAGTATTTGGTAAATATAAACCGCTAAATACTTTTTTCTCATTATAGGTTTTGTGACTTCTATCAGTGTCCTGCCAAGCACTGATTAAAGCTTGTAGGATGAGTTTTCAGTCTCCTGTAAGGGGATGCAGGACCCCTGACCTCTGTCTGGACAGCCCTGATTGGTCCTGTGCTGATCATATGCACTCTCCCAAGAAAAAAAAAAAAAAACCTCACTAGCAGTACAAACTGAGCATGCGCAGAGTGTCCCAGCATGATATGTCTTATCAGGAGATAAGAGTGGGATACTGGAAGAAGGTGAGGGTCAGAGAAGATGGGATCAAATCGAGTTTATATACAATGCAAAGGATTACCCTTTAGGTTCCACAGTGACTATAACAAACATGTTTTACTGTTTTTACTTATTTTACTGTTGTGGGTTTAGTAACACTGTAAGCAACATTCTAGTCTCAAACCTTTGACTGTCTACTTTTAAGCATTTGCTTAAAGCCTAATTCCAGACTGAATCCCACGCACACTGCAAGGATTAGATACTCATTATATCTAAGGATGCAGAAATTAGAAGTAATGCTTACATGCCCCAGCAGGCTCGGCCAGCAGTGCTTCCAGTCCCCTTCAGCCTCCTCCCTAATTCCCTCATGGCCACAGTCGAATTCCAGCCTTCTCCACAAATAATGTAGAGTAATAGCCCCACATTGTATGTGATAATGCTGAGAGACCGCCCACAGACCAGTGTTTCAGGGAGAAGATGGCAGCAGCTGAGCATAAGATAAATAATAATGCCTGTTTTCAATCCCCTAGACATAGTGAGCAATTAACCTGCAGAGTGCTGGTGGGGCCCACTGCAGAAGCAGATTTTTTTTTTTATCTAATTCCTGGAATTAGGTTTTTTAGTTTGGATAGATTGGAGAAGAGGTGAAAATTTGTTAGGCTTAAATTTGGCCTGCGGACCAACAGGGAAAATGTACCCCACTTACTGTCTCTGTGATTCCTGCACAAGAAAAAGGATCCGGTAAAGCAGGAGATCAAGGAAGCATTAGGGCAGAAAAGCCCCATCTATAATCATCTTCACCCTTGGTTACAAAATAATTCATAAGTGTGGGCCCACCACTTCACTGCTGACCTCCTGGGTTTAGGCTTGAGCTTTCCTAAATCAGCTGTCGCATATCAAGTAGTTTAAAGCGGAACTTCACCCAAAAGGGGAAGTTCTCATTGTTTGACCCCTCCACTGCCACATTTGGCATTTTGTTTTTTTTTTTTTGGGGGGGGGGGGGCAGGTACCTGGTTTTGACAGGTACACGCTCCCACTTTTGGTCAGATGCACCGTGTCAATCTGATTCGGAAGTTCAGCCGCCCTCTGCTTCCCCGCAGCCTTCTGGAACACTTCACAGGTCCCAGAAGACTGCAGGACCATTCACAAATCGCAGCATGCTTTGTGCACATACAGAAGGAAACCAGCTTTGAAGCTGCAAGGCTTCACTTTCAGTTTACCTTACTGAAGATGCCCATACTTGCACCCATAGCCGACTGAAGGCTTGGGTGAGGACATCCCAGGATCCCTATAAAAAAAAGTCAGCAGCTACAAAATTTGTAGAACTTTAAAATTTTTGGCAGGAGCTTGGAGCTCTGCTTTAATTGTTCACCCAGTGGATTAGTTCATCCAGTGGAAAAAGTGGTCCAATCCTGTGCGAAGGCATCTTTAGTGGTTACAAGCACCACCTACATCTTCTAGACCTCTAGACAAAAACTGTTTAAAACATATATATGAATTAATTTACAAGTTGATGTAATCCATATATATGTTTTAGTGTTTACAGTTCATGTTATGTATCATATTTGTTTTACTGAGTTGAAAATAACTGTGAACAGTATTTGAGCAGTCTTACACTGTAATGGGATGAGCCCAATATGACCAAGAAGAAAAGTTCATTTTATAATTTATGTTTACAATTCTATTCTTAAACTGATCTAATATTTTTTTCCAGTAAACAATGGCAGGATGGGATCTACTTAAAATATTGCTTGATGAAGTCCAGGAACATTCCACCCCCGCTGGAAAGGTCTGGTTGACTGTGCTCTTCATCTTTAGAATTCTAATTCTCAGCCTGGCAGGAGACTCAGTTTGGGGAGATGAACAGTCTGATTTCGTCTGCAATACTGTACAGCCAGGATGTACCAATGTCTGTTATGATAAGGCTTTCCCTATTTCACATATACGGTATTGGGTTTTGCAGTTCCTTTTTGTCAGCTCTCCAACCTTGATCTACCTTGCACATGTAATTTATTTGTCTAGGAGAGAGGAGAAGCTGAGACGCCAGAATAACGAAATGAAGACCATTGAAGCTACAGAATCTACAAAAGTGAAGAGTAACCGTAAAACTGAATCTCCTAATGAGAAAGTTAAAATTCAAGGAGCGTTAATGTGTACCTACGCAACCAGTGTTGTCTTCAAAAGTATCTTTGAAGCTGCATTTGTTTGTGGTCAGTGGTACCTCTATGGTTTTGTGATGCCTCCAATCTTTGTGTGTATTGGAAAGCCTTGTCCTCATGTGGTGGACTGTTTTGTCTCCCGACCTATGGAAAAAACTATTTTCATCATCTTTATGCTGGTGGTGTCCCTTATCTCTTTGCTTCTGAATTTGCTGGAACTTATTCACCTCGCCTGTAAACAGTTTAAGCAGACTGTTAAAACTGGAGTTCTTTGCCATCCTACTGGAGGCTACACAAGCACACAGCTAACCAATCTTCTACATCCCCATCAATCTTACCTTAATCCTACAGCATGTGATCAAGAAACAGAGCTGCCAGTTTACAATAAAAACTCTGAAAGTAGCAGCTGTCTAGAGAAAGCCAAGGCATCCTCTGAGTGCTGGTCCCAGAGTGAATTATCTGTTGCAGTTACAAATGCACCTAGTTCAAAGACCAACCTGGCTTCCAATGCAATCAGCTACCAGACATCTAGCAAACAACAATATGTCTAGTTATTTGCCAGGTCAAACTTGTATTTATTAAGGCGTAGAGACTATGAACTGTTGTGGGAGTTGCTTCACAGGGTGGGCACATGAATTTAGTCGTCTTTCAGATGGCCAAACCTTATGGTGCAGATGATATTTTGCATTCACATGATATAGGCAGAAATATGAAAATAAAAAAAAGTTTCACTATTTCCTACATTGGTTTGTTATTGAGTTCTCTTGGCTTGTTTTTAAAGTTGCAACTAAATGTTAATGTCATGGGTTAGCGTGGACCATTCATATCTTCATTAGATGGCAAGAGCTTCCTAAGGAGCATCTTGTCTTCACCATGGACTCCCACAAGGAAGTATGTGTTTTGCTTCTTACCCACTTAACCTCCAGAAAATTTTACCCCCTTCATGACCAGGGCATTTTTTGCTATTTAGCACTGCGCTACTTTAACTGGTCATTGCGCAATCATGCAACAATGTGCCCAAATTAAATTTTATATATTTTTTTTTTCCACAAACAGAGCTTTCTTTTGATGGTATTTAATCACCACTGGGTTTTTTTATTTTTTTTGCTATTAAAAAAACATTTTTGAAAAAAAAAACCACATTTTTCTTGGTTCGTTTTAAACTTTTGCAAATAAATAATCTTTAATTATAAAGACATTACAAGACATAACTTCTTTGGTTAAAAAAAAAAAATCCAGTTTGGTGTGTATTGTTTAGTCTGTCTGAAAGCTGAGTCTAAAAACTATGGTGTGCACTGCATATATACAGGATGAGCACAAAAACAGTATGAAGCAATAACATTTTTTTTGTTTTTTTTTTGTTTTTACACCAGTGCAGTACAGCATCACCATATGACTGGTGTGGTGATGATCAGGGATACTGACTGTTGACTAAAAAAAAAATGTTTGTTTGTGTTTTTTTTAACTTTTTTTTTTCTGTTAACCTCTTGCCGCCTAGCCACTGTATAAATACGGTGGCAGGGCGGCACGGGCAGGCAAAACCACGGTTTAAAACGTGTGTTTTGTAAACAGGTAGGGGGCACGCGCGGGGCGCGACGCCGCCCTACCTGTCCCCCTGATCAGGGCCGCGGATGTCAGTCGCCGGGTCACAGCCGGTCCTTACCGGCTATGTCCCGGCGATCAGCGCCAATCAGTGACAGAGAGCACAGCTGCAGTAGCTGTGCTTTCTGTCACTTCCCTGACAGCTCGAGTACAAGCTGATCGGGACAGAAGAGTTTCTCTCCTGATCAGTCTGTCCCCATCCAGTACACACCCCCGCCCCTAGTAAAACACTCCCCTGCACACAGATAACCCTTCCCTGAAAAATAAAGTTAACCCCTTCCTCCCCAGTGCCATTAGTACAGTGTCAGTGTTTTGGTTTTTTTTTTTGCACTGATCACTGTATTGGTGTCACTGGGGATGTCAGTGACCCCAAGTCAGTATGCCCCAATGTCAGAATGTTCGCCGCAGTCCTGCCATAAGTCGCTGATCGCCGCCATAAGTTGCTGATCGCCGCCATAAGTCGCTGATTGCCGCCATTTTTAGTATAAAAAAACCCTTAAAAATCCCAGTATCTTTCCCGCCATTTGTAAACGCTGTAACTTTCACGTAAACCAATTAATTTACACGTATTGGGTTTTTTTTTTTTTTTTTTTTTTTTTAGCAAAGACATGTCGCAGAATGCATTTTGGCAGAAATTTAGGACTAAGTTTGATTTTTAATTTTTTTCTTACTGGACATGTTTTATAGCAAAAAGTCCAAAATATATATATTTTTTTTTCCGCACAGGCAATCAAATACCACCGAAAGAAAGCTCAATTTGTGGGAAAAAAAAGGATGTAAATTTCATTTATGTACCGTATTGCATGACCGCGCAATTGTCCGTTAAACTAGCACAGCGCTGTATAGCAAAAAAATGGCGTAAATTGCAGTATCTATACCATAGTTTGTAGATGCTATAACTTTTACACAAAGCAATCAATATACACTTATTGGGATTTTTTTTTACTAAAATCATGTAGCAGAATACATTTTGGCCTAAATTTATAACCAACTTTGAGTTTACTATATATCTTTTATAGCTGAAAGTAAAAAATATTGTTTTTCTTCAAAATTTTTGGCCTTTTTTTGTTTATAGAGTGAAAAATAAAAAGCGCACAGGTGATCAAATACCACTGAAAGAAAGCTCTATTTGTGTGAAAAAAGACGTAAATTTTGTTTGGGTGCAGCATTGCATGACCGCGCAATTATCAGTTGAATTAGTGCAGCGCCAAGTAGCAAAAAGAGGCCTGGTCATTAAGGGGGGTAAATCCTCTGGAGGTCAAGTCGTTATTGTGTTTTTTTTGTTTTTTTTTTTTCTGTTTTTTTTTTTTTGCATACTGTCATCAAAGTAGTTTAGGAGTGATCAAGGATTTTATTTTTCTTTTTATACTGCTATTGCTTATAACAGTGATGATCAATCATGACAGCTTGATTTCTGTTGACATGCTGTGACTGGCTACAGTTAATCACATGGTACAGGGTGCCAAGTGATAGCTGTGGGCCAATCACAGCTTCACAACAGTAAGCAAGTGATCCCATGATACAGCAGCCAGGTACAAAGTGTCCTATGGACACAGCGGTCATGTGTTCAGTGACTTACCAGTACATCGCTGAGCCTGGCTGTGCCACCCAATTGCAGTAAAAGTTCTATGGACAGGCAGCAAGTGGTTAATGTTATTCATCCTATGTATGACAGATGACATATGAACAGTAACAGTAAGGTCAAATAGTAATTATTAATGTTAAAGTGTTACTAAACCCAGAACCCTGCATTCACTGTATCTGGTTGCCCACAGTACACACAACATGGAAATGCAATTATTTTAGTAAATTAAAAACTGCTAAGTACCTTTTCTCATCAGCAGTTAGAGCAGTCTTGTGACTTCAGTAGAGCACTGGTTACAGCTTGTAGGAGGAGTTTTCTTTCTGCTCTAGGGAAGATGTGAAACCGCTGACCCTCTGTCTGGACAGTGCTCATTCGCCCTGTGCTGATCACATGCACCCTCCCAAGAAAAAAAAAAAAACCTCTAGCAATACACAGCAAGCTGAGCATGTGCATGTGACCACAGGTTCAGTCTGTATCAGGTGGTCATTTCAACAAGAGGAGGGGCAGATAAGAAAGGGTCAAACAGCCTTTTTACACAATGCAGAGGATTAACCTCTTAGGATCAACAGTGAGTATAACAAGCAAACTTACTGCATAAACAGACTGATTTATTTCAGTGGTATTTGATCACTTGTGAGCTTTTTATTTTTTCACGCTATAAACAAAAAACTCAAAAATTTTGAAGAAAACGGATATTTTTTTACTTTTTGCTATAAAAAAATATATTGTAAAGTCAAAGTTAGTCATAAATTTAGGCCAAAATGTATTCTGCTACATGTTTTTGGAAAAAAATCCCAATAAGTGTATATTGATTGCTTTGTGTGAAAATTAAAGCATCTACAAACTATGGTATAGATACTGCAATTTATGTCATTTTGTTTCCTATACAGGGCTGCACTAGTTTAACTGATAATTGCACAGTCATGCAATACGGTACATAAATTTAATTTATGCCTTTTTTCACACAAATAGAGATTTCTTTCTGTGGTATTTGATCACCTGTGCGCTTTTTTATTTTTGGCGCTATAAACAAGCATTTTTGAAAAAATTAAAAAAAAAAACTATATTCTCTCATTTCTGTCATAAATAATATCCAAAGGACTCAAATTTCATCATAAATTTAGGCCAAAATGTATTCTGCTACATGTTTTTGGTTAAAATCCCAATAAGTGCATATTGATTGCTTTGTGTGAAAGTTATAGCATGTACAAACTATGGTATAGATAATGGAATTTACACAGCTTTTACTTTCTAACTGCCCATCACATTTCTTGAGGTGCTAAAATACCAGGGCAGTACAAACACCCCCAAATGACCCCTTTTCAGAAAGTAGACACCCTAAGCTATCAGGTGTGAGAGGCATATTGAGTCCATGGATGATTTATTTTTTTTTCCACAAGTTTTTGGAAAATGACAAAAAAATTTTTTTTTTTTTAAACAAAGTTGTCATTTTTAATTATATATTTCTCACACAAGCCATGGGTATATGTGGAATTACACCTGAAAATATAATCTGCTACTTCTACTGAGTATGGGAATACAACATGTGTAAGACTTTTTGGGAGCCTAGCCACATACAAGAGCCTGAAATCCAATGACCACTTTGAAAGCCTGACGGTGTGTAACTTCCACATTTCACTTCCTCACTACCTATCACAGTTTCGGAGGCCCTGAAATGCCACGATAGCACCAAGCACACCCAATTAACCCCTTTTTAGACACCCCAAGAAATGTAAAAAGTGGCATGGTGAGTGTTTAGCAGATCTCATTTTTTCTAACAAGGTTTTGAAATGGAAAACAAAAACATTTTTTCTTTTTTATTTCTTTATTTTTCAAAAACTTGTGGCAACAAACGAGATCTACAAAATACTAATTTCCTCTTTTTTTTATGCTATCACAGGGTATGCAAATATTCCCTATAACTTCAATAGGCATTGTCATATATTCTTTTTTTGAGAAATCTGGGGTCTATCAGACTCTAGATATCTCCTCTGCCCTTACATTATCTAATCTCACCAAGATCGGTGTGATCAGTTAATTTCCCATTTTACACATGGCGCTGTTTATATACTGCAAAACTGAAGTGATGAAATGCTCGTAGCTTTCCATTTCTTAGACTATAGAGATGATTGGCACCATTCCAGTCTCCAATCAGCTCTATGGTCAGCTGGCAGAAACACCGGCTGCATTCTCTGGTTCCCCCGATGGCATGGGACTGCCCAAGAAGGCCGTGGAAGGCAGCAGAGGAGGGGGGCATCGTCTCCTGCTGCTTGTAAAAGCAATCCTGCAGCTAATTAGCCACTAGAATTGCTTTTACATGAAAGCCGATCGGCGGCTGAAAAAAAGGATGATGCCTGCAGCTGTGGGCATCATCCTGGTATAACCATTCAAAGTCCAGTGATGTACCAGTACGTCGCTGGTCCTTTTTGAGTATATATGCTATGCTCTTCTTTTTCTTTTTTTTTTTTTTATACAGCCTGTGGGCTGAATGAAAAAAAGAGAAGAGATCTCTGCCAGAAAAAGTGCATGGTATGCCCACCATTAGAATATACCGCCCTGCATCCACCCACTTCTAATGATGGGCACACATTAGGTCGCATGGCGCCACATGCGCCAATTCCAAGATTGTACAAATGTCTAAATAGTGGTACGCTCGAATAAAAATTGTCCACAGATAAGTGTTACCCCAAATGGAAAAAGGATTATACCAAGTCCCAAACTATCCTGCCACTACACCCTATGTAGTCTGGGAATTGAAGGGGCTCCACGTGACTGTCTTTTCCCTTGTAAATCCAAAACTTGTACTGTATGTATAGCCTGTTGCCCTCTCACAGGTCTTATACATCTTGACCCCATATCTGGCACGCTTGCTGGGGAGAATTTGTTTGAATGCAAGGCAGCCAGAAAAATGAATGAGTGACTCATCAACACAGATTTTTTGCTGGGGAGTATAGACATCTGCAAATTTTTGGTTAAGGTGATTTACGAGTGGCCGAATTTTGTGGAGTCAGTCAAATTCAAGGTCACCCTGAGGATAACAGAGTGTGTTGTTGTTGAAATGCATAAAACACATTTTACTCTCATATCTATGCCTGGCCATGGCAGCAGAGAACACGGACATATGAAGAATCGGGTCTGTGGGCCAATACAACCTCAATTAATTTTTTTAGTAATGCCCATGTTGAGGGTTAGGCCCCAAAAAAATTTTAATTCAGAAACAGTAATGGGTTTCCATGCGAATCGTCTGGCAAGGTTTGAATTTGGGTTGGTGGCGATAAATTGTTGTGCATATAAATTGCTTTGATCCACAATCCATGCATACAGATCTTCCATGAAAAACAACTCCAAAAAATCAAGGGGGAGTAGAAAAATGTGCTGTTTCCACCTGAATTCCGAGTTGGGTAGTGAATGAGGGAAGTACGGGTGCTGCAAAATTTGTGGGCTGCCAATCGGGATTTGCAAGCACATCCGGAAGGATACTAGGGGCTCTACGGACCTGTGTGCAAATTCTTGGTGGTTGCGGGACAATACTTGTGCTCGCCAACGCACAAGCTTGTACTGCACTTATGGGACTCGTCACGTCACCAAGTGAAACTGCAGTGCTGGTATGTGAAAGACCAGGATGTACTAGGCTGCTGGTGCTCACCAGTTCAGCAAAAGGTAGAGCGTCACTAGTACTGACACTCTGCTGCATATGAGAGTCATCAAAATTTACTGGAAAGTGCTAGCAGAGATCAGGCCTGTGATGTGGTTTTGTGTGCAATGTATCAAGTGACCGTGACCTACTGAAACTGCACTTGCTGGGGGAGAAGGGGGGAGGGTAAGTGTAGGGGCTAAACGCAGGTGCTGGCAGGTGCTTGTACTTAAATGCATAGGCTGTGACATGATACCTCTATGCCATTTCCATCATGGCGGGGATTTTTTCCTCACGGACGCCGGGGGTGGCCATATGGTGATGCCTCCTGGCGTCTTTGGCTGCTTCAGCCACCACTCCAGACCTGGGACACAGTTGCACTAATTCATTCCCCAATTGTTAAACCATCCATATATAGCTCTAATTAATGAGCATCTATTTTACATTTGTCTCTCAGTTTTTTGATTCACAGGCTGTTTGTGCATCAGTCTGATCATTCGGTGAGCATTACATTTTGTTTTTATGCGTCTGCTATAAAGCAAGCAGTCATTGGTTGCTTCAGCTGCCACTCTAGATCTGGGACACAGGTGCACTAATTTATTCCCCATTACCAAACCACCCATGCAGCCCTATTTAATGAGCATTCATCTTGCATTTGTCTCTTGGTCTTCTGACTCATAGGCTGTTTGTGCTTCACTCTGATGATTTGGTGAGCATTGCATTTGTTTTTATGTGTTTGCTATAAAGCAAGTAGTTGCAATCATGGATGAATACTTTAATGTATACATGGTTTGCTCTGACTTCATTCTTAGTTTACTACTTTGACATACTGGTGAAGCCTCTCCATGGCCGCATAGTTTGACTTGCCTCATCTATAGCTAATTACTTGGATGCAACTTATACTAATGGTGGCTCACCATCTCTTTTGCCTATTAGGGAATTGGTGGCTCTGTGCCCTGCCGCACCCCTTTTTTTTGTGCTTCCTTGTAGACTTGGTGAGCAACAATTTTTGTTTGTTTCTTGCGGAGTATATTATCATATATCTTAACCAGTTGGCTTTTCTTTTTTGACCTGCATTGACGAGTTTCTGTTGCAGTACAATAAATTTATCTATACCTCATGAATTTGTGATTGGGATATTTTTTTTATTCTTTCCTTCATATGAAATTGTTTAATGTGTATTTTTTTTTTCTCATACCACCATTGGCTATTATTGTTAATTGTTTGCATAATATTTGGATCTTTCACAGTTTTGCGTGCCACTTTGGTCTTTTGTTCCATGGGATTTGACATACTTCCATTCCTTGGAGAAATTAATATCTCATTTACCACTTTTTCCTTTTGAGTTGTTTACATCCATTACTGAATGAAATTCTATTTGTTCCATACATTTGGCCTGCTTAAGACACGGTCAGTTTTATCACTTGATATATCTCTTTATGGACTATTCTTGAATGCTTATTCTTTTATTAGGTATATCCCTTTGGTCTGATTTGGAATTTAATATATTGTCTTTCATACCATCTTTAGTCCCATTGGGGGGATGTTCTGGTGCCCTTCTGTCAGTCCTTGTCTGGTGACTTACATCTGACCACTCTTGCCCTCTTGGATGATGCACCCCACCGAGAATTGTGTCCAGCCTCTCATCCTGGAAGTCCATCCTTTCTTTTGCTCTGACATACAGTTGCAAGAAAAAGTATGTGAACCCCTTGGATTACGTGGAGTTTTGCATGAATTGGGCATAAAATGTGCTCTGAACGTTGCCATGGTTTAATTGCACATAACATGTAAACATTCACAGTGCAGGGAGGAAAAAGTATGTGAACCTTTGGACTTAATAACTGATTGACCCTCCTTTGGCAGCAATAACCTCAACTAAATAATTCCTGTAGTTGCAGATCAGACCTGCACAACGATCTGGAGTAATTTTGGACCACTCCTCTTCACAAAACTGTTTCAGTGTAGCAATATTCTTGGGATGTCTGGTGTGAATCTCTCTGTTAAGGTCATGCCACAGCATTTCAATTGGGTTGAG